GATTGATGTAACCTTTTTTTAATACATTATGCAAATTTCGGTCCAAATGTTTTTTTTACGCTAGATACATTTTATGAGAGAGGTCACGAGAGAATAGTATAGTGGATGTGCCGGGGATTGAACCTGTCCCTCCCGCACAGAATTCCGAGACGATACCCAAATGTTGCTATATTGTTGTGAGGCCGCCTTTCAAATTCAGGCTAAAATTCGCAGCAAAATGTTTCTGTTTCAATGCAATAATGATAAAAGAGAAATAATGATTCTTTATAAGCTTGGATTTTTCGGTGTTCGTCACATTTGACATTCTGTACAAGAAGCTTTATAAAAGTCTTTTCGAGTTTAGCACAAGAATTAAAGATGAACAAAGAGGGATTAAGTAAACTTACCAACCCTACCCCTTTGATTAATCAATATTTAACCATATAACAACACACGAATAATTTAAAATTCTTTCAAACAATTCATTCAACCGAACCCCATTAGAAGTGTCCTGATTCTGTCAGGCCCTCCTGGGGAAAGAGCAACTACAGTATTGGAGGAAGGAAAGCTGCAGAACCGAACACCAGAACTATCTGACCGAGAATGATCTACTGGACAATGAAATAATGGAAAACTCGTGTTCCGCCGCCTGAGGCCGTGATCTGCATACGGAGGAACAATAAAATGTGAATAATCCCAAGTAGAAACTAACTGGACAACGGGTATTTGTAGATTCAATTGTAGTAGAAACTTTCATAATATGTATCTTACGTTCAGAGAGAATGTGTAGATCAAAACCTTCACATTTTAAGTGTTACATTTGACATGTTCTTAAAAAAGCGTTTGGAAATATTGACAAAAAATGTTATGTTTTAAGTATGCTACATGTAAAACTGCAAAGAGATTTTTTCAATTAGGTGTCATAGCCACTAATACCTGAACTTGGCCCAAAAATATGTCATCACCCCACTACCCAGTGAGCAGGTTTTTTTTTTTATTCGTAAACCGCAACAATGCAAATATTATAGTGTGAATCACTTCGATCACAGAAAACGTACTACTATAACCCAGAATGCCAACCGCATGGTAAAAAGCATTAAGCGGTTTGAGAGAGCTTTGCCTGTCAATCCGTAGGCAGCGCCACCAGCGTTGCTATGCTTTTTACCATGCGGTTGGCATTCTGGGTATAGTAGTACGTTTTCTGTGCTTCGATTGACTTCGTTTTGAGTGTTGTGATTATTTACTAAATAGCCTATGCAAAATGCATTACAATGGGGAACATTGTGAAATTCCACATGAAATACAGTTCAATCGACATAAATAAGCCTACATATGCTGGCTGATCAATCTAAAAACAGGTATGTAATTCCATGTTTTAAAGTGAGTGAATTATTGTAAGGTTATGTTAGTCTACATAAATAGACAAAAACTAGTTTCTGGTAAAAGTATCATGCGCGAATCACCCAGCATCACCCAGTTTACGGAACTCGAATGAAATCCCGATCTATTCAAACCTCGCACGGGATTTATCATGCACGTGTCGTAAACACCTACTTTACGGGCTTGTAGCGTGATGTACCATAAAACCATCTTCATAAATATAAAATTCGTTTCTATGTTTATTTTTCTGTTTTACAGATAATAAATAATATTAACTACAGACTAATGCAACGAACTAGTTATTTGTGCAACTAGTGAGAAAAGTGAACAATTGACTCACTCGAGAGAAATCCTTACTCACGAGCCGTAGGCGAGTGAGGAATGGTTTCTCGAGTGAGGCAATTGTACTTTGAACTCGAGTTGCACATTATACTTTTCCTACAGTTACCATAAAACAAATAAATTGGTCTTATGTTTCTTCGAACATAACCTATTTTTACACAGAAGTGAACTTTTAATATAACATTTAATGTGAAGTGTCAAATACAACAGTACAACAGTTGACCAGCTGATTTACAGCCAGTGCTGCCAACGTACTTCGCGCGCACACGACGTTGCCTGCATGTTACGCGCTCACTATTTCGTGCCTTCACGTTGCAAATCTGGAGTGAGACAAAGTAATTAGAGTGAGACAATGTTAACATTGTCTCACTGATAAGCGAATTGGCCACTTTGCTTTCTCAAATCAGTGAGAGAACATGTACATTGTTAGGTAACTGTAGGAAAAATTTATTTCCAGGTTAAATCAATGTAAAAAGCATGATAGTTTAAAAAACTGCGATTACATTAAAGTTGTATTTATAAAACAAGAGCTCCAAAGATTTATTGAAACAGAATATAAATGTACACTATTATTGGGGTTTTATTAGTTTTTTACAGCACAACACTTTTTTAAATGTTAAATTAATTAAAAAAATTATATATATATTTATTTACACTATTTTTGTAGTGTTCTTAAGATCTGTGTTTACGGTAACTAAATAACAGGATATTATTATGTGTGGAGGGTAAATATCAAAGGAAAAATAAATTTATTGAGTTTCACCTATTGGAACGAATGGCAACTGCATTCTCCTGTATAATTGTTTATGATATGCGCTCAAGAAAATATTTATATCCGAAATTATTTATATTAGTGTTAAACATATTTTCCACCATTAAATAGAATATTTGTTTTGTCTTATATGTAGGGATGAACGAGTCCTGAAATTTCGGACCATTTCCAGGGAAAATATATTTTATATATTCAAGACGGGATTACATTAATTTTATGATTTTCTTGGGACGGGATTTGTTCCAACCGGCAGCCATTTTGCGGTGTCATGAGTGACGATAATGGAATATCCGCGATCACGGGAGATGTTTACGATTTTGTTACGATGGCGGGACATGGTCACGATGGTGCCACGATCACGGGAGATGTTTACGATTTTGTTACGATGGTGGGACATGGTCACGATGGTGCCACGATCACGGGGGATGTTTACGATTTTGTTACGATGGTGGGACATGGTCACGATGGTGCCACGATCACGGGGGATGTTTACGATTTTGTTACGATGGTGGGACATGGTCACGATGGTGCCACGATCACGGGGGATGTTTACGATTTTGTTACGATGGTGGGACATGGTCACGATGGTGCCACGATCACGGGGGATGTTTACGATTTTGTTACGATGGTGGGACATGGTCACGATGGTGCCACGATCACGGGGGATGTTTACGATTTTGTTACGATGGTGGGACATGGTCACGATGGTGCCACGATCACGGGGGATGTTTACGATTTTGTTACGATGGTGGGACATGGTCACGATGGTGCCACGATCGCGGGAGATGTTCACGATTTTTCCACAGTTTCGGAAAACGATGATGGTGTACTCCTCAGTGATCGTGTGGGGGTTCACGATTTTCTCGCACTCACAATCACGAGTTATAGTCATTAAGGCATTGTGATAGGTAGTCCTACACATTACCTACAAAATGTAAATGTATGGCTACTCATACTGTTTTTCTACTAGTAACCACATTATTAAATCATGACTTAAATCAATTTGTTAGCGGCGTTTTTTTTTTTATTAAATTGAACCAATATTTGAAGTTTTTACTTTTTTGCAAACGGTTTTTACCACCCATGTTCACCCAGTAGGTTGTTACGGATTTTATCCATAATGCCAATTAGTGTTTAGATATAGGCTACCGTAATAAATTTGCATGACCACAATCATTCAAAAACAGATTTTCTGTGAATTATGTTAAGTACCGTAATAGCGTTTGAAGTGAATTATAAATATTTTTTTATGTTTTGTTGTTGAGAAATGTATGCAATATTTGGAAATGAAAGATTTTAAGAATTATTTTTCCTCTGGTGGTTTGAGATGTCACTTTTAAATGTGTGTAATAATCAAAGGTACAAATTCCTATATTATTTTCCTCATTTACAAACTCTTCTGAGCCTCAATAATGGTCGTAATCTTTCTTGACGTTTATTTGTCGTGTCAGTAATGGGATCTGTCTCCCAGTGTACTGTGCTGCTGTCTATCGGAGTCTTGTCAAACTACGTCCAGAAACTTAGAAACATAGTATGGATTGATCCTGATAAAATTTAATTAAAATACTATCCTCAAGCACTTTAATTTTAAACCCTAAATCATAATCATAATACTTTAGGGAAAATTAAGGAGGATAAAAGTTGAGTCATCCATTTACTTCAATATGTTTAATATTGAATGTTTTAGTTACCAGCACAAGACAAAAAAAGATAGAATATAAAAATACTATAAATTATAATGAAAAATGATAAAATTCATTCAACCTGAAAAATAAGCAAATTATTGAAAAATGCTTACATATACAAATTACATCAAAGGAAAGATTGCATTCTATTACCCAAGCAAATAAATAAGAATATAAATTTTAATTAAGTAACATAAAACATATAATCAAAGTATAATAATTAACGTATTATATAAATGCAACTTTCTGAGGGACTGTGAACTTTATTGCGATATTTTATAAACTAAAAAGTTAAATATCCATAGGCCTTTTATACTTTTTTGTAAGAATTAAATGACAAACATTTAAATTGTCATATCAGCAACTAATCTGCCAGAATATATTTTTTTTACTACAAAATTATTATTAAGTAATATGTCCTATACATTACAATAACGATATTTTTATTTAAAGATGGTTTCCAAAATAACTAGACCAATTATAAAGGGCTACTGTATTTTTTTAATATGTATGTATATTATAAATCTTGACAAAATTTTACTCTTTTGCCCTTTTTATGTGGTAAATAATTTTAATGCACATCATAACAATAATTTGTTTAATATACGACTAAACGTCATTCTCTGTAGGCTACTTAGTGCACCTGTGCATGTGTTATAAAATAGTAAATGATCTGAATTTGGAACCGAATGATTTATATATAGATTATTTTGTATTTAAACTTTTAAAGATAAGTTTAATTAAATAAATCTCTAACTAACATAGATCATTCCTGTTTACAAAAATTAATTTTTTAAACCTTTAATACACAAACCATATAAGCCATATAAATAGTAATTTACTTAACAATTTAAAATAAACTAAAATCAAGGTGTATTCATATACTGTAGTAACACTTTATGTTGTTGTATCTCATACATCAAAATACATATATATATACCTATATAAAGAAAACAAATAAACATTTGGTATGTTGTAAAATTGAGAAACACAAATCTCTACCTTGTGATGTGAGGGTTATTAAAATATAACACAATGTATTTAATTTTTTTTTTTTTTTTGTAAATAAAGATGAGCGTAAGCTAAAATAGATGTTCAGTTAAATGAAGTTTTTTACTAATAGATCTTTATTCAAATATCAACAACAGACAACAGAACAGCTGGTGGTTATGAAAAATAAATTGGTGTTTTACAGGAACAGTCATCTACAGAATGAGAAGGAAGTAACCACCAGATGTCTTTTGCACATTATTGAACTTAAATACGCTCTCAAACAGTATTCATGTTCAAAAAACCGAGACAAACAGTCTGTTATAAAACTATGTTTTTTAACTACTCAACCTTTCTTTTTTGTAATATATGGTCAAATTAGGCACAAATGAAGTCTTGAAGAAACCCTAAAATATCATTACAACAATATTAAAACTTGCATACCAATTAGTTAACAGAATGTTACTGTATTTATTAACTTTAAGAATCACATTCACCAAACTCACAAACATTATTTACACAGTAAAACTAATCAGCAACATAATGGTCCAGGTTTTTAGCACTCATCGGACACATCCGTCCCGGGGGTTGCGGGATGTGTCGTCATACTTGCAGTCGCACCAACTATCGTCTGCGGCTGCAGTGATACCAACCATGGACAGGTCCCTGCCACAGCCTAAGCCGCAACAGGGACTCTAACCTCATCCACCGCCGCCGCACGGAGGAGGGGGCAACGTAGACACGTTGTTGAAACCTCCAATGTTTCTTCTAGGTGGACGAGGTGGTCTGTGAACAAAAATAATTACACTTAATAAGGTGAGTATGAGGTGTCCGGAAAGATGTGCTCAAAGCAAGTTTGCTCACAGAAAGGTGCGCTTAAAGAGCGGTACGAATGGAAAGAAAAGGAGAGTGACTAAGCTTTGTGTAAGATTCTTTTAATTAATTTCTCTCCTGTTCTGTTCACATATAGATACAATAATGGCAATAAAATTACTTTATGGTTCTGATAGTGTTCAATGGACTTTCAGTCTCTCTGAGTCATTTGATAATTTCAATGCATAATTTTGTTAAGTATTAAAGAGAAATAAAAATTTATCGGATATATACCTTCCTTATAGCGAATATGACATCATATTTTTGACAGATGAATTAGGGGTTTTTTGCTACAATACATATTGAACTTATCCAAAATATTAAAACAAACTGTCATGAGGATATTAAATGAAGGGGGTTAATCCAGTACTTGATTCCCCTTAAGATTTTTTAAAATTTACTATTATAAAAATAATGAAAAATCATTATTTTAAGTTGATGCGGTAGCTCTCTGTGAACTGAAGACTCTCTCACTCTCTCTAATTAATATCCTATTTCTACAACATTGAAAATATCCTATTGATATAGTTTACTGAGGTACTCTAGTTTTAGTTTAGTTTAATTTAGTTCAATATGTTTTTTTCGTCACGTAAAGACTAAAGACAGTCTCAGAAGTACATAGCATCAGATTGAGTTAAATACAGCGTACTGTGTCACACAAGTAGCTTTTGCTAGTACTGTTTATTCTTCCACTCTCTCAGCTCAACCAATACTTTGGTTTAAGCGCACATATTTAAAGCAAAGATAGAAGTAAACCTAATGCACAAAAGAACTCAAGGTATTCTTTTTACTTAGAATAAGTTTTACCACTCTTTCTTGTCAAGAAGCCATCAGCTCCTTTACCACCACTGCTCATTCACTGGTGAGGTGTGAGTCATCTTTACATCTATATGAATATCATTTTGTTACCGTGTGGATGGTGTCGTTTTCCAAAGAACCTATATATTGGTAAGCAACTCGTTTCTTTCTGCGACAGAGAGTGTTGCTATGATGGAAGATTTACTACTACATCACAGCAATCAAGTTGATAATCATGTCAATGTTTGTCAAAGCTGCACTTTAATGTGGAGTGAAGTTTCAAGTCCTATGAAATCCACTAAAATGTTAGAGGTAAAAAAAACCCCAATCTGTGTCAAATGTTTCTACAAATTCACACACACACATTCACTCTCTGCCACATTTAGGCCTAATGCACGTCATCCCGCCAAGCCAAAGCCATCTGATCGTGGTAGGACACATTCAGCACTGCCGCAAGTCCGGAACGGGATTTTAGGCACCTGATGGTGTAGGATAGGGAATTGCAAATGTGAAATGCTTTTACTATGTAAATGATGTATAAAAAACAGTTGTCTTGTGGCGAGGAAATTGGAAAGTTGAAGAGCCAGAGCGGATATTTCTTGCACCAATTTTGTTATCAAAAATTGTTGGCAAGATAATTTTGAGTTTTGGGATTGATATTCATAGCAGAATGAGTTATATTAATAATTCATAATTCTCTAACGTCACATAGTTTTAAGAGGATGTTTAAAATACGGCAAGATGTAATCATCTTGATGAAGATCATCCAATACCGGTAATCTAATACAATAAATTTTGAGTTTGTTGGGATTTTGTTGCCAAAGTGACGGTCATATCATTAACTACAGTATCACAGCACAAACATATAACATACAGTACAACAGTAGAGACTTGACCAATTAAAGTCTAATGTGAAATGAGTCTTATAATCTTCTTCAGTAAGATGCTATGGGTAAGATTCTTCAGTAAGATGTGAAATAAGGGTCGCAGTAAACTTGTTTAAACTTCTGTGTTTTCCTTGGTACATAAGATTCAGACCTTGACACTACTGTGTAAAAAGCAGTGTTAAAGCAGAAGTGGTAAAGCAGCAGATGACTGTTTCAATTCAAGTACAGTAACGCTCATTTCACATTACATTTAGTTTCTGTCGTTTGGTGAAAACCCGTACTAAGCAAATTTTTCTAGTAGTGTGTAGAAGTGGCTGGGAGCTATCACATTACACAGATCTGGCAACAGCAAAGAGCCTTGCAGCTGTCCACTGCAACTTAATCTGAGGGTTGTCTCACTGTAGCCAATCATGTGGGTCATGTCAGTCACTTACAACTTTACACTGTACAGTTTTAACTGGACTGGACCCTCTCCATTAGCCAATTGACAGACTTGCGTCCATGACTAATATAGACGCCGATCCACTAATTGTATTAATCTTGGGTTTAAAAGTAATAAGTATTAATCTTATCGCCTTTCGTATATTGGGTCACCATGGAAGACCCATTCATCTATTGCTGGCAAACTGAGAATTCCAAATAAATTTTTCTCCCCATACAGTCAGCAACTGTGTAATGTGAAAGAAACATAGACATGGCATAGAATTATGTACACGGTATTTAACCGGACGGCAAAAACCATAGTGTAAAAAGAGCATAAGAGATTAGTGTAATGCCATTTGACTTTACTTAGCAAGATCAACTGATTCTCTATCCAGGAACATCAAACCAAATGTAAATTAAACCTAATGTACCAAACCAAACCAAACTTAAACTGGCTAAAATGTCAAATAATTTTCAAAAATCACTAACTTATCCATGTATTCATGGAAAAGTCAATGAAAAAGACTATTTAAAAAATTATTGGTATATAGTAACTTTACTTTTTGTCTTTCCACCAAGATTTACAGTATAAATAAATATAGTTAGATATCAATTTGAAAGGGCTAGCATTTGCACATACAATTAACGAAATATTGTTGAATCTAATATAGGCTATTATTGTATGTACAGTATATAAGTTATTCAAATAAATAACATGATAGAATGATTCAGACAACTAAGGTACTACCTAGGTAGGATACAAAAGTACTACTCTTTAAAAAAACGTGTTTAATCGCGAACACAAGTAACAAAATCTTACCTAGTAAGACCATAGACTAACCAACACAAGTAGACTTCTCATCCCATTGTAAATTCTGAAGCTAGTTTTTTGTGTATAGTTCATGTACGTCAACACTTCTCGCTAGTGTAGACACAATTTTTGTTTCCATTATTTTAGGGTTATTTTGATGATTTTTGCTTTACTGTTTGGTTATATTGCACTAGGAGACCACTTATTGTTTTTATTTGGTTAAACAAGGTTTTAAATGACTGAAAAAACAAAAAACAAATATTGTAAAACACCACGACCCCTACAGTGCGACGTACAAAACTAACAATAAAATTGGCTTCAGCTGTTCCATAAGGATAAGAAATCTACTAAGGGAATATGATTCATCTATGGTAAGACTTAACATTCAGTAATGTATCAGACTTTTTTACTTAAATTACAATAATTAAAAAATTATTTATACTATTAAATGCATATAAAAGGAATGTAAAACTTGATGGTTTCAACAACTAAGTGACTCATCCAAATCGGCAAGAGCCCCCCGAACAGCCTCGATTGGAACATGGACGAAATCTCCTCAGTCTGGGAAACCGTGGTGGAGCAGGGGGTTGTCTGAAACATCCACCCCACACCTCTGTAGCTTTACTCTTCAGTTTACCACAGAAAACACACAAGGAAGAAACAGTTTTTCATCAAAAGCCAAATTTTTTTAACGAAGTGACTTCTTAAAAACCCCATTTTTATTTTATACTTTATAGGAAAATCGCAATACGCTATAAAGAAACAATAAGGAGAATAATAGTTGAACCATCAATTAGTTATGATAAGTTTTATAAGTAAATTGTTTTAATTGTTAACATTGAACAAAAAAGATTTAAGAACCTAGACTAAAAAACTTAAAAAAATTATGATAAACAATAATACAATTAATTTTAGTAATAAAGTTACTTCATTAGGTCTAAATTCGATTTAACTAAAAGCAACACTTGTACAGTAAACATTCAACAATATTCAATAAACAAACATATGCACATTCACAGACGAGCACACAAGACAGTTTATCTGTATCGTGCCACGGTAGCTTGCACTCGTCCCACGTCTGCTCCTGAGAAGGAGTCCACTTCTTTGCCGTTCTTGAGGAACACAAAAGTCGGCATTGCCCGAACATTGTACTTTGCCGCAATAGTGTCACACTCGTCAACGTCTACCTTCAGAAACATAACTTCCGGAGTTTGTGCGGCCATTTCATCAATCATGGGGGAGATCATCTTACAAGGTCCACACCACTTTGCATGGAAATCCATCACAACAAGTTTGCTGCCTGCTTCTTTTAACTTCTCTGCCAAGTCTCTCTGGCTCGTCACGTGGTGTGGTTCGGCCCTTTTAAACACCACAACACAAGTTCAAACTATCGTAACTTGGTAAAATGAGACTTATTTACAATATATTTATCTGAACCCCCTTTTCAACATGGAGTTATGTAGGTACTCGTAGGGCTTAATGACACAAACTTACAATTTTCTCATTAAGACAAAACAATTTTTCAGAGGGAGGATATAAATAAAAGGTCAAAAAATGTTGTTGGTTTTTAGGGTGTAGACTCAAGAAAAAACTGGAAGCAAATGTCACGAGTAGGCTATAACAGGATTTAGTATATATGATAGGTTGGTTATCAGAACATAGTCTGAATTATATTGATATAACAGGATTTAGTATATATGATTGGTTAGTTAACAGAACATAGTCTGAATTATATTACATTCATATCCAAAACTTAAGTCTACATCTACGCACGTGAAACTCCATAAGACTAAAAACTGCGGTAGACATAAGCCCCACTGACCTCAGTGGCAAATACAGAACCAACCTCTTTACCCCGCAATCAGTTACCAGTAGGTATTGTTAAAGCAATAGATTATTTGTTATTTATTGGTAGATGAGCGATAACTGCATTTTTCCTCCAGCACAGAGACAGCATCATGGATCAAATTCAATTTTGGTTGTTACTTAGAGCAGTATGTTTTTTAAATATGATTGAATAAAAACTAGATAGAATTCAGCTATATATTTACAATCAGGAACATAATTGATCAAATATGTAGGCCTAATTAGGTTATGCAAAACTAAGGAATTTAATACACAGCATACATACCCTCCACCGCCGCGTCTAAAGTCTTGTGTGTATCTATCTCCTCTTGAGTTGGACCCTGGACTGATCAGAGTGCGGAAACTAAAAAGTATAAATAAATAAATTAGTGGTGAACTGTGAGAATTGTTTGCAGTTTACACAAACATCAGGGTTTAGAACTGAGAAAACCTGCAGCTGATTAAACCGCTTACTTTGATCCTTCAATCATGGCCATTTAGGCCTGATCATTTTAGTCTGAGCACCTTTAGTTAAGTAGTCTACTTCCTATTTTCCAATCCAGAAATTATAATCTTTAACAATATAATCTTTTCTTTGATATATCACTATTCCATCTCACTCATCTTATCATGCTTGAGTACGTTAACAGAATATTTTTCAAAGGTACCTAGAATGACAAAGTAGTTAACTGTATAAAAAGGATGAAAATATACTCCTGAACTAGTAAAAAACCGTTAAGGCACCTACCGTCACTGTAGAAGAAAATCTATTTTTATAGATAAAAGTACAGAGAAAAACCAACTAGGCTACTTTAAAAACTAAATTCTTGTAAAATAATCTTTGGTCCTACTAAAGAAATAGATAAATATGAACAATTAATTTTAAGCATAATCAAAACCTTTTCAAGGAGCCTCATGTAATCGCAGAGGCTAAAAGCAGGGGGCTTCAAAGGACGGTCCACATCATTAGAAGAGACAAAACAAACACAATATAAACTGTGGAATTGTGATCTGATGGGGAGAGGACCACGAGGGAGACCAAAGAAAATATGGAAGGGTGGAAGTTGATGAAGACACACAAGAGACAGGACGGTGTGGAGGCAGTGCGTTGGTGAGGTCAAGTACCACTTGGGGTATTCTTTGGTAAAATATTAATAACTTAATTAAACTTAGTAACTTAGAAATAAATATTGAACTTAGAATAGGCTATATGAATTTGAACTGATGGTGTTTTGGCCTCTGGGGACAAAAATTAAATCGGTTCCATGTCTTACCACGAGACCTAAGGTAGTAGCTAAAAATGAGCGCCCTATATGTGAAATTCGCTAAAATGGTCTAGGCCTAGTTGAAGGTTATATTTACTATCATGTTTGGATCTTCAATACTTACAACATGAAGAAGAAATTGAGGATACCCCAAAAGAAGGCAGTAATCTTTGCCAAGCCCCATGGCTGCTTGTTGGCTACTTCTCCACCTGAAAAAGGATAAAAGGTTAAATCTTAGAGTACCGGTAGCCGACAAAATAACATTGTAAGCCAAGTTGAATACAGGAGTCCACACTATGAAATGGACAGTGGTGCACTTGAGGGAAAGCTTGTAGGGCCTACCTACTCTTGATTAACACGTGACTTTGTCATAGCTGAATTAGGACTAAGCTATGCATATTTTGCTTATCAGCTTGTTTAAAAGCTAAGTTAGTCCATTAGAACATTATATATTCCTAACCCCGTGCCCGTATGAAGGACGGGTACTCTGCTAGAAGGTTGTTAACTAGAAGAAAATTGAAAAAGTTCCAGCATAAAATCACAAATAATAAGTTACCCTTGTGAAATGTGTTTGAAGCAATGTGCTTTTTCTTTTAATCTCTTGATAATAACTAGTTCTGGTAAGTTAGGTCTACTTATTTAAAATGACTATTTGTTAGAATAGACTTAAATAATAAAACCAACCTATCTTAAGAGGATCGAATAATAAATGAAAATATCCTAAATTGAAAATTTAACTATTAGACTATTCTAACCTATTGATTTTATATGAGCGATTTGAGAATATGAATAATACTCACTTGAAAGGACGTAAGGCATGTTAAAAGTTTATGTATCCAAGTTAATTCTGAGTAGAATATACACAGATAACAAATCAAACACACCAAACTCAAAGTAGATTAACACTTTTTCTCAAATAATGTCTTGCTTGCATTACGTAGCACTTCTCTATTTTGTTGACAATGAGGACTACTGTGGGAGTGGGAGTCGGGAGTGACAGGGAGGCGGTGGGGCACACGGAAGATTTCTCAGGTGCCGTTTGACGTCACTAACTGCTGACGTCACTAACTGCTGCGTCTGAAGAAACAGACAATTTTATAATTTTCTATTATTAAATTAAACTAACATAACCTAACCAAACTAACCAAACGTGCTGATAATGGAAAAATCTAATAAAGGTTTACTAATTTAAAAAATAGTTTTGTTCATAAAATACAATTATAATTGCCTAAAATTTAATTTTTTAATTATAAAATTAAACTGTCATAACCTTACCAAACCAACCAAACTTGCTGATATGAAAAAATTGTTGATAAAAAGTTAGTGCCGCCGGCGGAATTCGAACCCGGAACATTCGGAATATCAGCCCGCAATGCTATCCACTGCACCACCGAGGCCCATGGCTCAATACCGTATCGTTGCGGTATTGGTGTTCCCTCAAAGTGACGTCAGCAATTAGTGACGTCAAACGGCACCTGAGAAATCTTCCGTGTGCCGTTTCGGACAGGGAGGAGGGAGAGGACTGAGAGGAGTCCAGGAGTCCAGTCCAGTCTCAGTGACGACAGCGACAGCATTTCAGCAAGACAGGAATCAAGGAATCAGACATTTATTTTTCCTCCTTGCCGATAAGGTGGTCTGGATGTTTTTTCCCATGATACTTCAATGTTCTTTGTGTCCATTAGCAAAAACAATCTTATTTTCGAAATAAGTCAATAGGTGAACAAGTTTTTTGTTAGTAAAAAACATAGATGTGGTATGTCGTAGAGATGGGCGTTATTTAACGTAACAGGGTAAATAACACTGTTAATAAATTGTAACCTGTTATCAAGATAACACGTTACTCAGAATACCCTGTTATTTTTGTAACGCTGCGCTCATTGGCTTATGAATTGATCTCCTGTACCGGTTCCGTCAGGATCAAAGTCCTGAAAGCAACAACAAGTCTTTAAAATAATAAAATGTGAGAAAACGTTCCATTCCAGCCGGAATTTAACGTACACGAGAACTGTACATATTGTGGCAACATTAACACAAACAATAATTATGGAAAAATTGGAACGAAACGTCCAGCTAGGTAACACCCATGCTAGAATTAAGTTACAGTATATCCGGGCCGAAACGAACGAACACGGCCAGTAACATGGTAGAGCAATAACACCCAGCGAGAATTTCGTCACATTACGGCCAAACTGGAACGAATAAACCAACCGCAGAGAGTAACGCCAAGCTGGAATAATAACGTTACAGCCCAGCCGAGCCAGAACGAACATACGGCCAGTAACAGGGTAGAGCAATAACACCCAGCGAGAATTTCGTTACATGGCCACCGAGCTGGGGCTGGGATGTCACCTGGATGTCACGGTGTGGTGGGGGAGGAACCACTGAGCTAAAATTATAACTGGAGGTAGCACTGCCATGGCAGAAGTCTGTCAAAAGCGTGTCGCTGATTTTGTTAGGTTGGTATAGCAGTAAGTTTTCTTATCATAGCAATGACATGGCTTCTTATAACTAGGTTGGTATAGCAGTGAGTATTTTTGTCATACTTGAATACTTTTAATACTTTAATAATTTTCTTTGAAATGGCGACCATACAAAGTGGGTATTTTAAGCCAAGTATAATAATAGTTATAGCAATAATATGGCTTCTTATGACACCAGACTCACGCAAACATGGCGGCTGGCGACACGCATCTTTGACATTCAGTGCTACCTCCAGTTAGAATTATAGCTCAGTGGGAGGAACGGACCGGTAACAGGTTACAAAATTAACAGGTTACTGTAACCTGTTACCAAGTTGTAATGGAACGGTGTAACGCGTTTCTCAAAAGTAACGGTAATTCCCATCTCTAGTATGTCGTGGTGCGTGTTGTTTTTTTAGTTATAAGTGGGATTCAGGATTCTAAAGATTTGACGGATTTCATGAAATAGAAGGTTCAGCAGACGACATCAAAATCATGACGTATGACGACAACAGGAATCAACGTCCAACCAAACTAACAGCATAGATAAAACCATAGACTAAACAGTAGGCAGAAGACGTCCAACGGGAACGGGATATCATAATCTATGAAAGTGAAACCATCCAATCAGTGATCACCACTGAGATATAGCTCAGTGGTGATAGCCTTTCATTTTCCCTTGGGTTTTTCTTAAGTCTTTTTCCTTCCAACTTGGTCTTTGTCATTCTATAGAGTACCAAAATCATCTGTTATAATCGTTCGTTAATTACAATGCATGTTATAAAATTAAAAAAAAAAAAACTTCAACATGTTACAGGAAACCAATTGCTTATACGGACACAGGACTACCCGTATATATCAGTTTATTTATTTATTTATTACTATTGTTATATTTCTATTGTAGTTTATTATTATTGTTATATTATTGTCATTATTTTTTCCTGTTGTATTAATTGAGGGGTTGAGAGGCCAAGGGAGATATGTGACTTTTTAAAAAATGTTGTCATGGTAACGGGTTTTGTTAAAAAAGGGTGGAATTTCAACAAATAATTCATTTATATCCCTTGGCCTCCAAACTAAACACCTAAGAGTTGGAAGCCAAGGGGTATAAGTGAATTTATTTTTATTTTTATTTTATTTTTTATGACTCTGAAAAAAATACAATGACATTTTTTAAAAAGTCACTTATCTCCCTTGGCCTCTCAACCCCTCAATTATTGTTGCTATTGTATTTGTTGCTGTTGTTATTTGTTGTTGTTGTTATTATTTTTGTTATCTTTTGGCTAAACAATTTTATTCAATGTTAATTATTACAAAGATTTATCATTGTTAGTCAACATTTGCTCAGGTTTTAGTTTGTTAATTGTTCTTGTTATCAAGTTACTCTATCAATTAGTAATCTTAGGTCCCATTACACATGTTTGGCTTGACCCTTAGTTATAATAACATTGAATAAGTATTGTAAAAAAAATAATTGTAAATTAGTTTGTTTGGACCGTTGGAAGCAAAATAAATAAATAAATATCTGTAGCCCTGATACGGGCAGGGCCGTGGCAAGGAGGGGGCAGGGGGGGCGATCGCCCCGGGTTGCAGATTTTCAAGGGCGTCAAAATTTCAAAAAATGATAAATCTTATTATATATCAATTTGTTTGTAAGAAATGTTTAGATGATTTAACTCAATGAATATTGTTGATTTCTATTAAGTTTTCATAGGTGTAATTCATATATATAATTAATTTAATGACGTAAACTAAAATACATAACCAACACAAGTAGACTTCTCATCCCATTGTAAATTTTGAAGCAAGTTTTTCATGTATGTGTCACAAAGGCACTAGTGTCGACGAAACATTGTTTCTATTATTTTTAGGTTAATTTCTTGATTTGTTCTTTACTGTTTGGTTATATAACAACAAGTTATTGTTTATGATTAGATCGTATTATTTGGTTAAACGAGGTTTTAAATGGCTGTAATAACGGAAAACAAATTGTAAACAAAACACGACCTCTACATAAACCGTACAGAACTAACAATAAAATTGTCTTCAGCTGTTCCATAAGGATGAGAAATCTACTAAGGGAGTATGTTTTATCATAGACTAACCAACACAAGTAGACTTCTCATCCCATTGTAAATTTTGAAGCACGTTTTTCGTGTCTAGTTCATGTACGTGACACAAAGGCGCTAGTGTCGATGAAACTTTGTTTCAATTATTATTGGGTTAATTTCTTGATTCGTGCTTTACTCTTTGGTTATATAAGTAGGGTACAAGTTATTGTTTATGATTAGATCGTATTATTTGGTTAAACGAGGTTTTAAATGGCTGTAATAACGGGAAACGAATTGTAAACAAAACACGACCTCTACATAAACCGTACATGGACTAACAATAAAATTGTCTTCAGCTGTTCCATAAGGATGAGAAATCTACTAGTGGAGTATGTTTTATCTATGGTTTTATCTATGTTATTACCTAAGGGAGTATGTTTTTATCTATGTTATTACCTAAGGGAGTATGTTTTATCTATGTTATTATTACGTTTTATATGGTTTTATCCATGTTATTACAAGGCCCCATTAGAAAAACGTTATTGTCATAGTTTTCCAGTAGTCCTGTCCTATTAGCGAACTCCTTACTCTATGCTATTGTTGTCGGAATTTCGAGTGCGAGTGCGAGTGTGGAGTGTGGTTGGTTGGTCGCTTGGTCGGTTCGGTCGGTCGAGTCTCAAGCTCAAGTGTTTGTTTTTTGTTTATATCTTATCTTGAAAAGATGCAGACGAATTAAAATTTAGGACTTTTAACCTAGAACTAGTTTTATTAAGTAACTTACCGACGTGGCTTGTGACTGATAACAATATTAATTAGGTTCATTCATCGAAAAACTCCAGAATTATGTTGAAAGCGGTGATTTTGATTGGAGGTCCACTTAAAGGTTGGTTACACTAACTTATAAATAATAATTTTAAAATAAACAGTGTCTATCCATTTTTTTTTTAGGTAATTGAGTATTAATATTGTAGACAGTTTTTTTTAATTTTGCAAGCTATAAGTTAATAATTAACCCTCCAAGTGTCCATAGTTTAGGCCTTAATGTCCACCTATTTTTGGCGCATTTGCAAGGTTTTATTAAAACGGATCTGAGAAGCTTAAAACAATGTTAATTCTAATGTTCTATATACCATTTTGTTTGGAAAATCATGGGCTTCAATATTATATATAAAACATAAGGAACATTTTTTCAAAAAAAAAAATTTTTAGGTAAAAAAAATATAATTTCGAAAATTAAAAAAAAAAAAAATAAGTTCGCGCTCAATGAAATTGTATAAATTATAGGCCTATAAATATTTGAAAATAGCCACTTTGTTCTAAATTTTATGAGGATTACAAATATATAATAATATAAGGAAGTAGATTTGCAAATAAATAAGTTATGGGCAAAAAACTGATTTCAGTACATAGCGTTTAGCTAAGAATGCATAGCCTAACCATAGCTAGGAATCTGGCTGATAATTTACATCAATATCACTACCTACTTCTTCAGGATCATCAACCAGCACTTCAAAACCACTTAAATCTTCTTATAATGCACCACGTATATCACTACTTTTGATTTTTAACACTAAAACAATGATAAACGTAATAAAACACATCAGTCATCGGTCCGGGGGAACCTAGCTGTTTACAAATACACGCACGTCAGCTGTCTGCTACAATATTTTCGGAACTAAAATGAATAGCGCTTAGAGACAGACCTCTGGAGAAAGCTTAGAATATTACGGAAAGAACGATACCTAACTCGATCCAGTTCAATCCGATTCAGTCAGTCATCGAGCCTTCGCCGTAAACGATGTCTGCGTGTCGAAAAATCGACAAGTAACACTACACAAAGTGTGCTGCTTGTCGAATTTTCGTCAAGTAACACTGAGAGGGTTAAAGTAGATAACTGTATAAGGAGGCTTATGGCCATTTCCTTTTCTAGGAACGCTCTTGCACCCTCTGAAATCTTCCTGTGCCCCCCAGGTTGAGAACCGCTGTGTTAGAAGATGCTTTCAATGGCAGTTACAGTCCACTTATTCTAGAGGGATTTTTTACTGGAGGCCGAAAATAACATCATAATTAGGGAGAACGTACTTTAATTGATTTAAGTTACGAATAGCGTCCTTTGAGTTTTGACTCCCAGAAGGCAGCGATGTCGGTGAGGATTGAGTTGAATGCGCCGCCGCCGCTATACTCCGCCAAGTAGGTATACAGCGCGCTGCGGCGGTTGTATTAGGTTGGGTTATTTTAAAAATGTTTGTAGGACTTTCCTCGTTTTGTTATGAATCAAACGATACCAGATGAGTCATACTTTCGCCTGCCAGATACAGGCAGGTACAGGTGATGCGTTCGATTCATAGCGAAACGAGTAAAGTCCTACAAACATATACAGTATATGATAACCCAACCTAACATTACTGCCACAGCGGGCTGTATAAGGGTGGCCTCCAGATAATACCAAAATACCGCATCAAGTACACGTAGTGCACTGGTTGCTGAATAAAACTGTAATTTATCATTTGCTTAGTTGGCAGTTTCTGGAATGTAGAAGCCATGTGTGCTGTGACACTCATCAGTCCCTAAATAGCTTCTGGGATGTCAATTCTCATTGTTTTGTCTTTTTGACTGGGGCATTCAATGTAGGCCCACCATTTCCGGTATGCCAACGGCCTACGTCTCGAAAATTCCCTTCTCAATTTTCTCACTGTAGGCTACCATATTTCATTATATATTAAACTCAGGTAAAATAAGTTAATTTCTTTCTTAAAAAGTCATGATATTCGTTAAAAATTTATAATCTTTTTACCTTTAGATTTCATTCTTCAATTTTTACCAAGTTAGGCCTAATTTTATGGTACATAATAAATTTAGTAATATTTGAATTTTAAATCTAAATCGAGAGCCCCTAAAATTAAAATAAGGGGTTAAAATAAAGTTAAAATTGACTTTCACAAAACTACCTATAAAAATTATTCATTTTGTTCAACTTGTAAAAAGGTTCAATGTTTTAATAATTTAATTTCAATAAAAGGAGAAATTTTACAATTTCAGTTTAGTTATAGGATTTGCAAAATTCTCTCTTATTGTTTTAAAATCTTACCCTTAAAAGGGGGACCAAATACTGAAAATCTTTACTCAAAATTAAAAATTTCACTGTAACGCAAAACTACTTAGTAACTGTTTGGTGTTTGGACCGTTTGAGCAAGAAGTGCCTTTAAATAGGTAATCAGTAGTAGGCATCTCCTGATTGGCTTACGACTTAAATGTTCTAGAACACTCTGACCAATCAGAAGACACCTACCCTACATGTTTGTTGCAAATCCTGTACAAGCTGAATTTAAATAAAAACTGTTATTTTCTTATTGAATTTAAATTTGGAATCTGGGAATCTGAATATTTTACTTTTAAATCATTGACTTAGAAATTAATTGAAATAACTTTTGTTTATACTGTATTAGGCATATTACATGTACTACTTTATCTTAAAACGGTAGGCCTACAACACATTTCTTCTAAGCTGCACTGTCTTCGTTCCTACTTTCTTTCGAGTAGGCCTAGGTACGCCTAATGTTTTCTGTGTTCTATTTACTTCATCTTCCTACCCATAGTTTCAAGTTTCACGTTTTATCATCTAGACCTAAGTTAGGTCTAATTAACTTTTTTCATTCACTTACTTTATAGTTGTACCAAACTTGGAGTTGTATCCCGCTACAACCACTTCCTCTGACATCATCAAGACTGATGCCCATAGTTAAGTTTACTTACATTACAATCTGGTTCTAGAAAGCCAATGAGTGGCATGTAAAATTTCTGGCAGGGTTTGGAACGTTCTCTAGATTCCTGACAGCTCATAACAGCTATCAAGCAAGTGTGGCGAAAACAAGGCAAGTTAGGAGCTGCTCACTTGTACGGCACCAGTGTAGCTAATTGGCCCTAAAAATATTGTGAAGAGGCATATCGACTGGGTCCCCGAGTGTTTATAGTATAAGCCGTAAAATCTTAAGAAGCCTATTGCTGATTTGTTTGTGAGAAGAATTGGATAGATCCTCTTGCCATTTGGGATTGTTTAATGCTTTTTATTACACCCAAAATGTTATTTGTTATTGTTGTTGTTATTTATTGCTACAATTAGTTTTTGAATGTATTTCAGGCACTCGATTTCGCCCGCTTTCACTCGATATTGCTAAACCTCTTTTCCCTGTGGCTGGGTTACCGATGATCCAGCACCATATTGAAGCCTGCATTAAGGTTCCTGAGTTGAAAGAGATCCTTCTTCTTGGATACTATCCGGCTGTGGACCTTGCTCAGTTTGTAATGGAAATGGTGCAGGAATATAAAATAAATATAAGGTCAGTTTTATAACAATTTGTCTAAAGCAGAGGAACTAAATGTAATTGAAATTGTCATTGGATTTGAATCTTCAGCAAATGAACCTATTTGAAAAACATAATTCTATAGTAAAGCTTAATCTGCAAATTTTTCATCAATGCATTGATAGAAATACTTACAGTTCTTTATTTGTAACTTTTATATTTACACAGGTACTTGCAAGAGTTCACAGCCCTGGGTACAGGAGGTGGTATGTACCACTTCAGAGATCAAATCCGGTCTGGTAATCCTGAGTTGTTTTTTGTCTTAAATGGCGATGTTTGTGCCAATTTCCCACTAGAAGAGATGCTTGAATTCCATCGTAATCAGGTATTTTTTACACCAAGAGTAGCTTAAGAGTAGGCCTATTATATTTCAGTCGTTAAGTCTCAAGTTCAAATCCTGTCAATGACGGACCTTATGCAATTCAATAATGTTTAGTCATATGCTTTAGAACTGACCTTTAAGCTGTAGGTTCTAGACAAGTATAAAAGGAGCTAGGTTTTTGCCTAAAGGTAATTTGCCGTCACCAGCTCAGTTATATGTCGTCAACATATGTTACCACACCGTCAATGTTACCAAATATTACACACATCTTGGATTGAAAAATGTCAGGAGCACAGCTAAGCCCATACGCAAGAATCTATACCTTTTATTAGGGGTATTAAAAGTACATAGTTTACTACTTTTTAGCGAATTTCCCTATAGGGAAGTAGCTATTACCGTAGGTGGCACGGTAAAACCTAGACCCGGGACCGATTTACTTTTTCATTTTGATGTCCCCAGAGGCCAAAAACACCATTCGTTCAAATTTTTATATATGTATATATATATATATACGTCCGTGAACGCGATAACTTGAGTAATTTTTGTCCGATTTTGATGAAATTTGGTTTAAAGGTGTAAAGCGGGATAAACTTGAATGAGTTCGCGAACCAGCACGATCGGACCATGGGAACAGGGCTTTACGGGGGGTTTTATGGGGTAAAAATTGGTTTTTCTCACTTTTGACCCTCAAAACACAAAATTTCCTGATTTCTCTTTACACCTTTTTAAAGAGCTTAAAAAAACAAATAATTTAGTATATAAAAGTATTTTTGTTCAATTATTAGTAACGGAGAAAATTAAAAAAAAATGTAAATTTAAAATTCCCATGTTATTCTTATGGAGAATATTGTCAAAAGTTGTAGTTTGCTTGTTTATGGATATATTTTGATCAAACTTGGCAAATTTATTTATTTTGTACTAAGCTATCAATATTTTACTCAAAAACACACTTTATTAGTTTCCTTGTAGCAGCAAACCTAGGTACTCGTTAAACCTAATGTTATTAAAATATATTTAACTGAAAATCAATTCAGACAAATGGAAATTCGCTTAGTCGGCAGGTTTGCTGCGGCGGGGGTATTTAATTTAACTTGATCATCCAAAAAGCTGAACTAGCATCAAGTACAGAGTACACTTTAGAGTTAGGTACTTAACTCATTAGCTATTTCCTCAGAAGTGGGAATTTGACATTGAGACCTTTTTAAAAATTTATTTAAATTCCTAGCGTCTAAAACTACCCTTAAACCTGCTCCTTTCTTATTTATAAGGACCATCCCATTTACCCATTCAATAGGCTAGCTGTTACTTTAGTTATTATGCCTTGTTTTTTCCATTCTGATTAATTGCGGGAAAACATTAAACGTGAATCATTTGTTGTTAGCAGAGAAATATTCCGATTATTAACATTCTAGGCGAGATACCAGTACAGTACCTAGAAATCCATTAAATGTCGTATGAAATGCAAATATAAGTAAAACAATGTTTATCCTCCATGTATTAGTAATGTACAGTCTTAGATATTTTGTTTTCCCAAGCCTGCCATCATGATCCTTGTTTTGTCTTTGACAGGGTGAGTCTGCTGTTATGACTGTGATGGCGACGGAGGCTACGAGACAACAGGCTCCACTATACGGTTGTATAGTCCGGGACAAAACTAACTCTGCCATCACACACTATGTAGAAAAACCGTCCACATTCGTCTCCACACTGATCAACTGTGGCGTCTACGTGTGTTCCTTGGAAATATTCCAAATAATGGCTACGATATTCAACAGAAATCAACAAGAATATTACAAGTTAGTAATAGTGTTGTGCATCAAAAAATGTCCATCTTTGTTTATGTTGAATAGTTATGCTCCATTTCCTTAGTGTATGGAGATTCATCTTAAGTGTTCTTCTAATGTCTGAGCACATTCATTTTTTTAATAATTTTTGAAGTTGTTAAAATGTTGAAACATGACAATTATTTACTTAGTTCTTTGTCCAAGTATTTCATAAAAGTTGAGAAATTTAGGTCTAATCCGTCTTCATATTTTATTAATCTGTTATATACAGCAAAACCCCCTTAAGCTGGGTTTTCCTAGGAGCAGAAGCGGAGAGTGGAAAAGAGATTAACATGGTGTTCCGCTCCGCTTCTAGGAAAACAGTAACATTAAATGATCTAAGACAAGTGGAGTCCACTCTCCGCGTTCCTCTCTCCGCTCTCCACTTCCGCGCCTGGGAAAACCCGGCTTTATTCAACCTCAGTATAATTTCCCCTTTGAAATCTTCCACTCTATTTGACGTTGACTGAAACTTACTTCCAGCTGCTTTACTCATAAATTCTTTGTATTCAAGTTTTTATCTATTAAATAGATCTTTCAAGCGTGTTTACAGTAAATATTGTATCTGTTCCACAAACTGTTAGATCAAAGTTCCCATCCTTGCCTCTTATTCTGTTTTTATGATGCGTCCTGTCTAATATAAATACCTCGCTTGTCTTTTTTGAGGAGTTCTACTGTATACTTATTTTGCAATGGGTTGCTTGGTGTCGTATTCAAAATTGATCGTAATCTAGGCCTGCATGTAATCAAAGCCAACCGGATACCAATAATCCTGCAGTAGTCATGATTTACTAAAACTTTAAAATCATTGTAGCTGCTGAAACAATGCAGAAGAAAATAAAAAACATTTAATTTAACAGAGAACTGGGTCATCGGATTCCTATACTGACAGTTTTGTGTAGCAATCCAATCATGAAGTAATAATAATTCGTATGGTATAGGTTAGGGTAAAATATTGCCTGACAAAAACATGAAATTGACATAACCTACAAAATACAGAGTTTGTAAAAATAAATCATGAAAGCATCCATGATAACAAAACCAAACAGACAGTTACACCATTACGCTTTTCATTTCTTAGAAATTTGGTAGCTAAAACCACCAAATCTGTTGGTTCTGACAGTGACAATACAACCAACGGCACCAAGGAGTCGGGGTGTATACAGTTGGAGAGAGAGGTTTTGAGTCCACTGGCAGGGACAGGACGAGCGTTTGTGTACACAACAACCAACTGGTGGTCGCAGCTCAAATCTGCGGGGTCCGCCATCTACGCTAACCGTCACTACTTACAGCTCTACCACAGCCATCACCCCGAGCGGCTGGCTAGTGGTGCAGCTGCCACCATCATTGGGGACGTCTACATACACCAGTCTGCCACTGTGCATTCCTCCGCTGTAGTGAGTCATGTTATTTTATCCTGAAAGTCAGTAGCTTTTTGATAGCCCTAACTGGAGCAAGATGCCCTTCATTAAGGTTTAGTTTTTTCTAAAGGGTTCTTGCTAAAGTACCAGCTGATCTCAGTCTGTAACAAAGCTATTTTATTCTTGTGTAGCTGGTGGCTTGTAAATATAGTCAATTTTATGGTTAGTTATGTGTTGTGTGATTTAGAGAGCGTTTTGTACACTACTATTTGTTTCTGGTTGTTAAACCAGTTTGAAAACTAGTTTATCAAATAAAACGATCTGTTTACACATGCTATCACTTGTATAATATTGCAATCAAGCAATAAAACACTCTAAACCCACTCTCCCTACTAAAATAAAAGAAATACAAGTCGTCATCACCACAATCTTAATGCCAAAAACGTGCAATGTGCATGAAAGCAGGCTTTTACAATAGAATGAGAAGTCTGTTGAACTATTTTAAGGCTATGGTTCAGCTTAGTAACAAACACAACTCGAAAATAAAAATGGTATTTATTTGTCGCATAAGTTCATCTTTGGACTATTTGAGGGAGGTAGTAAAACCCATTATTGTCTTAACAAAACTCTCCAGGTCCCAACACATGATTTCTAATATTTCAGCTGATCATCTGGTTTAAGAAGTTAGTTGTTTAAGAATAAACCAGAATTTTAAGAAGACGTGAATTTTAACCAATAACAGTAGTTATCATTAGTGAAATACTCTATGAGCATGATTACTGCAATGATCTTGGGATATAAGGAATAGAGGGATTCTCCTTTCTATATTCCTAGCCAATAATTATACCTATTATCTTCAAACTTTTATATTAAAAATTAGACAAATTTGTACTTTACTGCAAAAAAATGCCTTGCTCCTACCGTCGAGCAACTGGGCCACTTTTCATTAACACATCAACATTTTAAAATAGGTACTAAAGTTTTCCTCCATCCTCAGATTGGACCCAATGTCAGTATTGGTCCAGGCGCCAACATAGGTCCAGGAGTGCGTATCCGGGAGTCTATTATACTGCAGGGCGCTCAGATTTCAGAACACACCCTGGTCTTGCACAGCATCGTAGGGCGAGGGGTGAGGATTGGAGCATGGGCAAGAGTTGAAGGCACCCCTTGCGACCCTAATCCCAACAAACCCTTCGCCAAGATGGACAATCCTCCTTTATTCAACAACGACGGACGTCTGAATCCCTCTATCACCATTCTGGGTAAGTTTCCAGTTTGTTTATGCAATAACACCCTAAATTATAATTTACATATCCATTCATACTTGGATTAAATACCTACCTTTGTATGGTCGCCATTTCAATTAAAAGTAAAGTATAAGACAGAAGAAATGGATAAGACATCTTATTTAGGTACCTTAAATCTGACAGCAAATGAACACTTTGTGTGCGGCCTACATTATTTAATGTAGTGTGGAACTGGAGCGTGTGCGGCCGACTATGTTAAACTACGTAGCATTCCTAACTCCTAAGTATTGATCCAGTGTGAGCTCAGCCTCCCACGAGGAACATTGTCAATTGTTGTGCCAGTTTTATACTTAATTCGTTTTCAGATCCAACAATTTCATCGGTGGTGGGGACTTTTTCCAAGTTTAGTAGTGTGGGGTTTTGTCTTGGATTTAGTGAAATTGAATAGAATAAAATATAACGATAATTACTGTAGTGTAGCATTGTGAAAGTAATATAAAATTGTGCTTGACGCCTTTTTTGCAATATTTTTATGGTGTATCCGGGTTTTTCGCCCCTACTTTTTCCCTCCATTTGGCAGTACTGAGGACCTGCCTAGCAGTTTTGTTTAGTGCTGATATCTGTTGGGTTATTGTAAAACTACGTCCACAATGACTGGAGCAGAATACATGCTACAATATGCCTCTCAATTGGAGGAAACTAAATTTAAATGTTTTTGCGCACTCAACCACGCAGCGCATTAGCCACCGGCCACGGCCAGCCATCGCATAACAGCACTTAACGTGTTAAAGGAAAAATTTATAATATTTATTTTTTACAGGTTGTAGTGTGACAGTGCCAGCTGAAGTGATTTTACTCAACTCCATAGTTCTGCCTTACAAGGAGTTGACTCGGAGCTTCAAAAACGAGATAATCTTATAGAAGTGTCATTTAGCTGTTATGTAAATTGCCTTTTACAGTTTGTGAATATTGTACAAAAAGCCTGTGAACTAAAATAAAACATAAGGTTTGTTAAATAATATTATATTTTTAAATATTTATAAATTGTGTATTGTTGTTTTGGTCCTACAAACAATGTTACCTTACCAGTATCATTAGTATCTTGGTTTATATTATAACATTTTTAACCATTTTCGACCTAAAATGCATGTAACATGATAGCATAAACTTCATCAAAAGCATACATATAGCATCAAGAGTTGTTTTGCGTGCTTAAAGCTATGTCTCAAGTTTGATTTTTAGTTTGGAATCGGGGACCAAAATTTTGTTTTGGGGTTTTTTCTAAACCTAAAGTCAGTCAAAATGAAGATGTAGAAAAGTTATGACTTTTTTATTTCATTAGAATGTATTGCAAATAAAAAACAAGCTTATGTGACTTATTTTAAATGTCAATTTGAAACTAGCAGAAAATTCAATGATTAAATACATGGACAAATAATTATTACTCTATTAACCAACATGTATATTTAATAATTATATTTTACAAAACTAATCCAGTGAAATATTTAAATTTTAAAAGATGACCATATTACAATAAGCATCTAGCACGATTGTAAACTGCTGCAAACTGGTATTAAAATATGGAAAACTGTAATTCCCAAGCTAAGCCTTTTTCAAAATATTTTAGCCAAGTGATAATAATTGACATTGTGTATAGATTTGTGGTTTAATACACAGATGTATCATCTTCAGCAGGCGTGGGTAAGTCAAGCGGGGGACACAGCAGATGGGTAATGTTACGGGGCCCCACCATTCCCTGCTGTTTAGACGCCCAGTATTGCATATACTCCACCACGGCCAGTATCTGGGCCTCCGGTATCACAGGACCGATTCCAGGAACATAATCCCAACTTGATTTATCCTCTTTTTCTTCCTCCTCAGTCTCAATAGACTCATCAGATTCAGTAGCAAGCCGATGCACTGTCGGTGATGCCATTGGACCTTCTCCACTATCTATTTGGTCGATTGATTTGTCTCCAAATCTTCCTCTTCTAATTTCCACCACGGAAAGTCCTACTTGCCGTTTTCCTATGAAATTCGCCATCGTTATGGTCTGGTCGACAGCTATTTCCGAGTCAGTTCTATCTCGTCTAACGGAATCACTGACATCGTTCTCTGATTCTGCAGGTTCAATTATGACATTTTCAAGGCTTTCTTCTTCTTGTGGTTTCGCTTCCTCTGAGACAAGATCCGAGGTTTCTTTTTCAGAGTCAATGTCTGCATTCTGCAATTCATTCTCTTCAGTTTTATCTTCTGATTCTTCAGGATGATCTAAATTCTCAGACAGATTGTCTTGGTTCCCATTATTATCTTCAACATTTTCTTCGGTTTTCGTCTTTAACTTATCTTCGGTTTTCGTCTTTAACTTATCTTCGGTTTTAGAGTCACTTTTAGCTGCAATTTGAAAAAAAAAACACTTTGAATGTAACAATAACATCTATATACTAAATTGCTTTAAAATACATTTTCACATCATCTCTAGGTTTTGTTATTTAAATTAAAATACCATTTAAAATTATTAATGAAGATGTTCACTTTATTAGGACACATTTATGGGTTTCTTCTATTTTGTGTGCAGTTAACTCAAAACATAAAATATAGTCCTACCTGTATTATTTGTTCTATTTGTACTGTAAATACAAGTGGTACTAGTGGCATCTAGGGACATAAATTCCTAAGAAGTTAATTAGTGTTACATTTAAACAAACTAAGAATCAAATTATCTTTCACTCAGAAACTCTGAAAATTGTAAGTTAATCATTTTTAGATCACTTTAGTGAAATCAGAATTTATCTAAATTATTTGTTGATTATCAAACAAACTTCACACAGTAGAATGAAAATGATAACACTTTTGTAATCCCATGTTCAATGTAAACAAAGCTGACGTTTTTGCATCCCAATGCATTTTAAATGGAAGATATTATTCGTTATTTCTCATTTTCTGGTAGATTAGGACACAGTCTGCTATTTTCCCCAACCCTCTGGAACCAAAATTTTAAATTTAAGCCATCTCCCACCATCCTGCGAGCTGTCAAACTCTCATGTAATTTTTATATTTTTAAATCGCTTAGGGCCTACAGAACTAATAATATAGATAGATAAGTTTGATTACACTTCCCGATCTAACTTTTATAAAACTTTCAAAATTCATTGATTAACATGTAAACTACTGTTTAGCGCAAAATATGGTTGTATAAATAAATATAGAATTTGTTGAAAACTACCTTCAATTCTGCAAACTAAATTTAATGACATATCCACTATCCAGTGTGAGGATTATTTTGCTTTAACTTGAGATAAACACCACAATTAAAACAGTTCATACTTATTTAGAGATAATAATCCCACTTGCTAAACCTGTGAAATTTTTAAGTACTTACATAACTGGTACATTCTTTTAGGATTCATTTAAAAAATTTATTAAACTCATTGCACGAATAATTTTAACTAGAAGGCAAGTTGGCCATAAATCCAAGAAAACCCTCTCCTGTCATTATGTGGAAACATAATACCATGCTATCAGTATTAACTAATTATCAGCTTAAAATAAATGTACTGATCAAACAAAAATAAATTTTAAAGTTGAGTTTTTTTAATACAATTTTCTCAGTTATCTCTAATACTTAGCCCTAATTCAATGTTTAAAAAAATAGTTATTGGACGTCAAATCTAGGTCTTCCGGGTGATGGCCACGTCGTTGAAAGAGTGAAACTGGAAGCCGAAGTTTCGGATGCGTAGCAGCTGTTCATCTTTGGGGCAAACTACTGTTCAACTCTTTCAACAATGAGGTCATCATCCGAAGATCTAGATTTGACAATCTTCTGTGACTGGAAGCCTATCATCTAGAGTTATTGATATTTCACATGTATCAATTTAATGAAATCACCTGACATTTCCGTGGTTGTTTCTTCGGCAACAATTTCAGCCAAAACCGCAGGTTGATCTTTTTCTTTTTCATCATCGTCCTGTACAATCCATCAATGAGTTAGAAAATACAGAGATAAAATAAGGTTACTAACCTGTCGTCAATCACTCCTATCTTGATATATAGGATATATAGGACCTATATAGTCTTGATGAATATAGTTTTGGGGTTAAAACCCTATTTTCAAATCTTCAGTTGTCAAATTGTCATACAAAATATCTTCTTGCCGTTGCCAATAATACATCACACATAAACATACACGGAAACATTTAGATTTACAAAAAATTATGTACATCTGTGCGAGGCCGGCCAAAGATACAACCAGACTATTATTGACAGCGGCAAGTACAAAAAGATATTTGTTTGACAGTTTGTCAACTGAAGATTTGAAAATGAGGTTTTAACCCCGAAACTATAGTCATCACGACAATAGGATTGATTGACGACAGGTTAGTAACCTTATTTTATTTCAATTAATCAATTCTGGGGGCAAACTATGTATAGAAAAGGCAGTCAAATAATAAAAAAATTTAATGAAAAAACTGCTTGTATATTGAATAAAATACCAGTTTTGGTTAGTGACAACAAATACCCCCTCTGCAGGAACACCAATATTAAGCAAATTATCGGTTACTTCGTACTTTTTCTAAACAGGTTCATAAGGAAAGGAAGCTTACTCTTAAATGTTTTTTATAAACCAAAAAACTAGATCCAGCTTAAATAACATTGGTTCAATAATTATTTAGGTTCACGGCTATGAAGAACTCCAAATTTTAATATAGTTTTTGTTTGTAAGTTTAATTTTAAACGCAATAGGTATTCGTGCTGAATAGTTCCCATGTCCTGGAGCAGCCCCAATTCGCTCTCCCAGGAAATTTCTAATGTCTGAAACTTCAAGATTATGTTATGTTTATGGATTTTCATTTATTCTCCAAAATATTCCATTCAGAAATCTTGATGGGTTGGCAACCAATGGCCAATGAATATAAATATATTTAATTAATCAACTAGCTTCAATATTTCTTAATCACAGCTTCTACACTAGGTGTCTAGACACTTTCCGTATTCCTATTGAAAATACATACCAAATTCTTGGCATCAATGTTTATCCAATCTGCATTTTCCTTAAGTGATGAATGGCTCAAAACATTTTCTCCCTATAAGTTGAGTAATATATCAAATTGACTGTTTTTTATGGTAAGAGATTGCTTTGCACCTACTGTAGAACTATTTTACTGCAGACATTTGAAGGTAAAATAGGCTGCTCTTAATTAGTTACTACATTTGTAAGACCATAATTTTTTCTGGTAAAAAAGACAAGTTATATTTGAAATTTTAACCATATTTGACATCATTGAAAAATAGGTCTGGCCATAGATCCAGATATTATTTTATTTTACTATAATAAAAATACTTCAATTGAAGTTCACACTTATAATTTAATATTTTCAAAGCCTCTTTTCGGTAATTGTTTCAGTGTCCTTTAAAAATAAAAATTAGCACCTGTCCCAAAGAATAATTTACAAAGAAAATCTGACAATTTCTCTACGTAGTTTAATGTATTTATTGTCTCAGACATTGCAGTGTCTTTTTTTATTCCCCCTGAATTTCCTAAAATACTTAGTGGTTTGAAAATTAAAATGCTTCCTCTTAAAGGCATTTGTTGATCTTTCATTTGAAATTCAAGTTGTTGACAATAGAAAAAAAGGGGTTCCATATTCACTTGGCTTCAAGAATTGAAGTTTTGAAAAAGAATTGCCCAAAAGTTAGAGCTTAAGTGTTGGGTTTATAAAGTTTTTAACAATAGCGGTTGGAATCAGAACCACACTTACCTCAAGGTCGCCTTTGTGTGTTGCTGTGGTGGCTTTCAATGATGATTCAGAATCTTGAGATAGCTCAGACTGAAAACACAAATGTCTGTCAGAAAAGTCATCTATTACTAACAAGTTACTTCACTGTTGCAAAAAGGCTGGTTAACAAATTGTACTCTGACATTAACGTTAAAATTAGTGTAGCATATCACATGTAGAAGACAAAACAACATTTTTTTCAACAGGGATGTCTGGCATTACATTTCTTTTACCCACCTTGTTTTACGAGATAGGATTCAAATAAATCATAGCTGAAACAACCTTACAGTCTATCATTCTGCTTGATTTCTCATGTATGGGTGTTGATATTAGGATGCAGAGAGAAAATAAATGAGAGCTCATCAACAGAATACCAATAATGATGACCCGGTAGGCGAGATGATTTAGCGCACAACTTCAAATCCATATAATTAAATCTAAGGCTTAACTTACGATCCAATTTATAAATAAATTGGATCGTTAGGTAATAAATTGGATCGTTAGGTAAGCCTTAGATTTAATTATGTTCAATAACGATCCAGAGGCTATATCTCCAAATCAAATCCATAGGTTGCCAGTTAAATCTTGAGAAGGACCGATTTGCTTGATTAATGGCAAATTCCAAACACAACATTTCTCACTATTTATTTCAATTTTTAATAATGCTGATTACTGTATTAACTTTATATGTATTGTATGGCTTTCTTTCACTTGATGCCAAAGATGAAGTTGTAAAGTTGTTCTGTAGAATGTGTTTGTGTTTATTAAATAATTTATATTGAAAGTAACACAATACTGTTGGAACCTAAATATCTATCAAGTCCTGAAAAGAGCTGTTTTGATTTGGAGTGACAATTAAGTTGTAGGTTTGGTCAGGCTAAAAGCCGTCACTGATAGTCAAGATGACGTGTTTAAAAACCTTTTGAGAAAATATCTAAGTCAAATGTTTCTAACTAAAAAAATAATGGCATAACGTTAATCTTAGGATTAAAAGGCACTGTATTTTAAAAGCTTGACCTGTTTAGATATTCTGAAATGTCTTAATCCAAAGTAAGTGTCATTGTACCTTAGTAGTAACAGGATATAAAGTGACCAGTTCTGTAACTGCACCCTTGGCATCGTCGAACACTTCCACCCCAATTTCGGAGGACGCTCCCGGCTCGTCCTCTGCTTTGGGTGATCGGATCCGATCGGACTTCTCTTGTGGCTGTACATCCTGCCACACCATCAGCCCAGCAGTTGAATCTTTCTCCTCCACTTCCATTGGTTCTGGGTCTTTTACAAAAGTTCATTGTGAATAGTGAATGATTAGAAATATTCTTGCAAGTGTATGTTTGGTAAGTCTTAAAAACTAAAATTCTTGATAGTGACAAATTCATTTTATTTAGAGGATTCATTCGAATGACAAATTAAGGAATTTGTGAAGTATCAGTAAATGAAAATCACTAAGATACTCAGTCAATATGAATGGTAAACACTCAAATAGTGTACAACTGTTTGGCTATTGTTCACCTGTCTATATCAATAATTAATAATGAATGTAAAATATTGAATCAGGTTAAGAACAGCAACAGAATTTGGTCTAATTTACTATAGTGAAGCGAATGTTGGCTTGGATTTCACAGCAAGTCTAAAGCCTGGATAAATATAATCCGCTGATTAAGTTAATGAAACTAACAACATATTTTTTCTAAAAATTATCATAAATTTGGAAAAGTTATAAAATTTTGTAATTTTTACCTCAAAACCAAAAAGGAATTTAAAGAGCCTCTTCTTTTTAATAATCAACATTTTGATTGGTCTCATGGAATCTAAACACTCTTCATCCGACCACTTTAAATTTTCTAAAACACTAGAGGAAAATGTGCCCTAACCCAAAAAATCAACAATTTTATCTATAGAAACATATTTTCAATACAACTAGCAGCATAACCCAGCGTAAAATACTTTATTTCTAGGAGTGTTTAAGATCAATACATATAAAAAATGGAGTTATGTATCATTGATTGCAGATAAGTCCTCAAATAATTATAATTATTGTTGATTCTTGATGCAGCAGCGTGCTTCAGATACGTCTGATCTTAAAAATCAATAGCTCAAATGGAAGCTGGTATTTCACTAAAGGTTCTTCTTACACCAAAACATATAGGATAATGTAATTATAACTAGTGAAATAAATCTTTAAGTAAAGTATAAATTCAGAAAAAATCTAACTTAATTTATTTTTTTGGTAGAGTGATATATTATATAAATGAATGATGATGCTTGATGGCAAATCTGTGCATGCATACTTTTAATTTAAGACCAAAACTATGAAAATCAGTCCGGTAGAAGAGCCATAACCGACTTGGAAAAGAAAAACCAATATTTTTCAATACTGTGTAGTTAATGCATCACACGTTAATTTGGAAAGAACTCCATTCATTCGAGTAAATAGCCCACTTGAAAGTCACACCTTTCAAAATTCTTTGTACTGTAAAAACTTGTCCACAAATTAGCGTAAATTAGAAAACTGTATCATATTCCACCATTGAATATTCTGGTTCAATTTATCTATGTCCAACATTTTACAGCCCTGTGTCAACTGTATATTTTTTGTTACTTTAACCTCCCTCCATTAGATAAAATTTATTCTTCTATCAAATAAATGAATATAGTCAGTTCATTTACTCTTTAGTCTTTCTTTACTAATGAGTATAGTAGCGGTACCTTTTACTTCAGCGACACTGGTTGACACGTGTGTTGATGTCACTGAGGGTGATTCTAGAAGAAGTTCCACATGTTTTACATTTGGAGGTTGAGGTCCGCAGTTGAGAACTGCCAGGAACTGGTAAAGATCCACAAACTTATCTACGGGGATCCAAGCAGCGCCACCTTCCGGCTGATCGGTCAACACTTCGCAGATAAGGATCATAGTCTTGCTAAGAGACTGCAGAATAGAACTACATTAACAGACTCAACCTTCAAAGTACAAAAGTATAAAGTAATATAGTAAAACATTAATAATATGAATTAAATAAAGGTATTGTGGTATTTCTCTTAGAATTAATAATATTCTAATAAAGTGGTCTCTGCTGGTTTGCTGGTAAGTGTGACTTCTGTCTTGAAAACTCGGAAATTATCAATGGCTTTTTAGGCTGTAACTTAGTGGTCAAGAGCACATGTTAAGCTGTAGGTCCACACATATCAATAAACAGATACTTCTATACGGCAAGGAAAACTTTATTGGGATATCCTCCACCAAACAGCAGGAGGATTATTAAATTCGAGTAGGATGTTGCTAGTAATTATTTAGGTACACTTGCAAATTTCTACTACCTAGCTCTGTCGGATGTTTAATCAAACAGTAAAAAAGAATAATGTAAAAAAATTGGAACCTAAAAATAAATATGTAAACAAACTTGGAACTTTCTACAGTAAGGTAAATCTGTACACTTTGAAAGCTGCTCTCTAATCAAATATGAGGACACACTTGTATTTCTGCCATATGGATATACTTCCTTTATCCAACAAACATCAAGTATGTTTATGTTTATTTGTGTTATACATGAAAACTACTCACATTGCAAAGGTGTCCGGATGCAATAGCAATGAATTTCAGCCAAGGAACTCTATTCTGGATGTTTCCGATTCTCAGCATCGAGTCTAACGCTTCTTTGACAAGACAAACTCCCATCCACTTCTCGTAAAGCACTTCCACTCTCACGTACTCGTGGTTTCCCAACTGAAAAAGATTCAACAGCAAAATACGTTACAGTTACAATAAAGTCCTAGAGTCAGGACCACTAAATGTAGATCAAGTTTTCCAAACAATCAATATTCTAACTAAACTATTCATTTAAAAACTTTTCCTCTAGTTCCAACTTTTAAAGGCACACTTCTCTTCACAAAATGTAATGTATGTTAAATACATTATAAGCACAAAAATGTTAATGACGTTTGCATTTGCCTGATCCTGGTCTTTTCTGTAACATGAAAGCCAAGTACAAATAAATGAGTTCACAAAAAAACTTTAACAAATACAAATTGTACTGGGAGGGAAAAATTGTATTATAAATACGTTCTGTTGCTTGCCTTAAGTATTGTTTTAACCAGAGAGTAACAAGTGGTCAAATCTAGACCTCAATATAAGAGTGATGTATTATTAGTTTGGATCAGAAAGTAGTCTAAGGTAACCAATATAATCCTAAACCTAAACACAAATCAAAACCGGCTCCAGATTATATTAGGATGACAATTCTATTGCAATAATCTAATTCAGTATTAACACTAAGTTAATTTGGCGTATTTGACACAGTTTTATTACTGGTGAATAGATTTTTCTCAAGTGTTCTAACGTTACTAAGTATACTGTATAGGGACTAACAAATTGTTATTACTTCATCAAGCCTACTCATTTACTACATTTTACTCCCAGACTACTTGAGGTTTCCATACATTTTTCAGGGTAGCCCTTAAAGATTTTTTTTCTGCAAGGGAAAGTAATCCTATACCTGTTTGTGAAGAACTCTCAAAAACCCAGGAGACAGTCTAGAAGGAGAATCAAAAGGTGGATACTCAAGACGTTCCTTAACAGGTGGAGGTGAGTTGTTGGCCTTGGCTCTAAAGTACGCAGCCGACCAGAAGAGCAAATCATGAGGCTGTGTTCGTATTGCTGCTTTGGCGTATTGTTTCAAGATATAGGGCAAGTTTGGGGGTATATTAATTTGCTGGGCGCAATACATATGTTCTAGTAGATCAGGCATTTTTCTGTAAACAAAAGCAAAGTTGAGTTGAAGTTAGAATATTTTTGGGGAAAATATTGACCTATGAACACATCAAAACTCGTGAAAGAATTCTCTGAAATGGTTAAATAATGGTGTCAAGTTTCATGATTCTTTTACAAATATTTTTCCACTTAGTACAAATTTAATTGCTCTATTGATACTATAATTAATTGCCAAATATGTTTGAAAATGAAAATAAGTTCAAATTTTTTTTTTCAAAAATCAAAACTATAGTTTGTGGTGTATAAACATAGGTCATCAATCAAAGCCATCATTGTTTTTTTTTTCATTAGGTACTAAATTAGTTTTATGAAGGCATTTAAAAGTATTGAAACTATGAAAATATTTACCGCTGAAATTAGTAGTTGATCCTAAAAAACACAACACAAAGAACTTTATTTATAATTCGGACTATTTAATTTACTTGTATGTCCATTATACTTTCTAATCCAAATCACTAACCTAATGAAAGGCACTTCCAAAACGTAAATACTGTACCTTATTTTCAGCTGCAGTAGTTCCTATTGACCCTTCAGGGAAGGAAAATCTAAGTACTGTATTCAATGTTTTGCTTATGCAATGTGGTAACCATGGCAACAGGTTTGCTGTCAAACACAGCTGATCATTGCTGTAGAGTAGCCAATAAATTACTGTCCACATTCAACCATTCCAGTTTTTACCACCCTTGAATATATAACAGAATAAACAATAGATTGTAGCTATAGTCAAGGAAAATAAATAGTTTACTGGTACCTGTTTTCCTTTTTTATTTATTTTTTTTGTGATCATTAACTATTTATTACTTGTATTTTTATGACTATCGTTATCTCATTACTTTTTAGCAAATTTTCCATTATAGGGAATAAGTTATTACCGTAGGTCTCATGGTAAGACCTGGACCCAGGACCATTTTACTTTTTTGTTTTGATGTCCCCAGAGGCCAAAAACACAATCTGTTGAAAATCTATAGGCCTATATACAGGGTAACTCATCTACCAATATTTTAGGGCATTGTTCCTGAGTAGTAAGAAACATATCTAACATCTAAATATATCCGGAAGTCCTTATAGTTATCCACAAAGCCGCCATTTTGTTTTTTCACATATTAATTTTTTTTCTAAAAAGTAGTTTAAGATACAAAATTGAAACTTTGCACAAACATTTATGACAACTAGCCAGGGCTACAAAAAAATTATGACCATTTTTCAAATTCATTAACAAAATGGCGGCTATTTAAAATTTTGTTGCTTAAATAGCTCAAAAACCGTTGATTTTACAAAGTCTTTTGTTTACTTTTTTTCCTTGTTATTTTGTTCAACCATAAGACCAATGTTAAATTTTTAACTGAGTTGTGTAGCAAAATACAAATTTTCCTGAGGTTAGTGGCTGTTGTCAATCAGGTTTTTAGGCCCATAAGTCCCTAATTCCAAATCAAAATGTAATGAAAATCCTTCCGCTGGATTTTTAGATATATATTACAAACAGACATAGCTCGTTTTAGAGTAAAGGATAAATGAATTTGATTTTCATACTGTACTTGAAAGTAATAAGAAGCCTGTATATAATCATTTTATTTAAATTCATTACTGTTAGACCTATTATAGTTTCCGATATTTTTGAAAACTTAAATTGTTCACCTCACACTGTCATTATTTTTTATTGAGCACCGATTCCGAGCTATGCCACCAAACCAAAACCAACTGTGACAATTATTAATATTTGTAAATAAATAAATTGTGAGTACAAGGTATGAAAACAAAAACAAATCAAATTGTTAGTGACATGTTCCCTATCTTATCACAAATCAGCTGTTGATTGAGGGATGATTAGTGATGGGCGATGGCAGTTGGTGTTTCAATTCTCGTCTTGTGCTTTAGCCTGGTTTGCATGGGTTCGCAAAGATTAGGTAAAACTATGAACACACTAGCTATCGATATAATCAAGAAGTTAATGTACCCAAAGGAAATATACAGTGCCTCAGTGCTAACTGCTCTCAGTGATTACAATAAACATCTGAAATACATAATTGAAGACATCAACAACAACAATGCCACCAACGTTTTATCTTCAGCAAAATATATTTACCGTAAAGGCACGCCACGCTTTGCTAAGATGATGTTTAATCCAAAAATGCTTCAAGATAATTTTCTTTGGTTGGATTCAGAACTGCGACAGTTTTTCGATATGTTAAATGAGGCCAGTGAACAATTTAATAAGTTTATGAGTATATTTCAAATGAAAATTACTAAAAACCGGCCTGACTGGACACCTAAACCAAACTTTTATTCGGGTAAAATTACTACGTACAGGATAAAAAAACACAAAATCAAGGAAATAATTACAGGATGACTATATTTTATGTAGATTAATTGTGATAAAATTTGTGATAGTACTATGAGTGACAATTATTTACTGATTTAACCCTTTTCTGAGTAAGTACTATAGAAAAAATAGAATATTTTGACACATTCTATCCTAATAAAAATGATTTTCTCAAACATTTTACGAGTTGTTGAATACAATAAGGTAAAATTAGTAAAAAAATAGTGAACTGTAGCTATCTAGAGTTAACTTCAAAAACATGTATTTCTGAGCAAAAGAAAACAATATCTTGAATTTATTGTGAAATTAACCACATAGTAGAAATTTGACAGAATAAAGTATAGGTTTAATAGAAATAATTACAGGATGACTATTTTATGTAGATTAATTGTGATAAAATATTGTGATTTTGTGATAATGCTGTGAGTGAGAATTATTTACTGATTTAACCCTTTTCTGAGTAAGTACTGTAGAAAAAATAGAATATTTTGACACATTCTATCCTAATAAAAATGATTTTCTCAAACATTTTACGAGTTGTTGAATACAATAAGGTAAAAATAGTAAAAAAATAGTAATCTGTAGCTACTTAGAGTTAACTTCAAAAACATGTATTTCTGTACAAAAGAAAACAATATCAAGAATTTATTGTGAAATGTACCACAGTAGAAATTTGACAGAAAAAAAGTATAGTGGAGTTAGAATCAAACATCATTTTAACACTTCAACAAATTTGGAATAGGCTACCAGCTTCATCTCTTCTCACTGAATTCACTCGATGACGGCCATTTCTACCTTGAAATTAACCGCACATGTAGTTCCTGATGTTATCCGATTATTGACTAAACAGCATGTTTTGTTTTCATTTTACAGATAACTTTTCAACCATTACCCTTAAAAACATATTAAATTCAAACCCGAAAATTTCATCTACACTTTGTGACAATAAGTAGAGTAAAAGATGCATGTCTTTGTTTATAAATTGTTGTGCATTTTCTTTCTTTTCATCTGGAATTTTTAAATTATTAAACTATTATTACCTTTAGCCCAAAAAAGATAAAATCATTTTACACATAAAATCATCTAATGTATTTTGTTTTGTTTTTGTTTTTATAACTGTTTTATGGGGGATGGAGACATAAGATGGAGCATCAATGTCAACGTCAACATAACATGAACATCAAGCAATGCTTCAATCTGAGTTTTCCATACACTCTGCAAGCTTTGAGTGCAGGTTCATTTATGACTTGTTCTTTCAGCTATTACGGTAAGCTTTTTTAACACAATTTCTCTAAGCTTGGTCCTTCATATTACCTTCTGTGTCTCTTATTAAATTAATTATGTCTTTTTATCACAAGACCTATTTTAATGGGAAGTTAATAGGTAAAGCCCCATAGTGTAAAGCAAGTGCATCCCTAAATTTTTGAGGAAAATGTCCAAATAAGTTTTTTCAGAGGCACATAAGAGCAAACATCCATATTTTGCTTTTTTCTTCTCAATTTTGCATTATAATTTTCTGCCGGCTTTGTTACAGTATTTCCAAATGATGTCTGGATCAATTCTTTTTCTACATACTAGTGGAACCCCGTCGAAATCGACGGTTAATCTTGAGGTTTTATGTAAATTCAGCTAACTGCGATGGATAGAGTGAAGTCATTAGAATCTTAGTTAAATGGAGGGAGGATAAGCAATAATAAGTATGACCATTGTGTTCCCTAAAAAACGTGATTGATGAATTCGTTTAACACAATGGTATGAGTTTGTTTCATACCAAAGCCACTTTCACTATATGGGGGAATGAGTTCATATAATTAGTCTATCATGTTACGGAAAGAGTCAATATTTATTACTAACCACTAATTCCATCTGCTTTAGGAAAATCATTCAGATTGTATCCGGATTTATAAGTTATCATCATCTTTGTCCATAAAAATACAGAACTCTATCAGCATATTAAATCAGTTTTTTTTGTTTGATAAAAATATCTGATTCTCCAGAAAGCAGTAACATTCTTACTTCGATCTCAGCAATTTTAATTCCTTCTCTTGCCACATCGACCCATGTATTTAATCATCCTGTTCTAACTTGATAATTCATTAACTTGTGGGGTAGTTTTGCCTTGGCCATATAGATCACTCAACGCTGTGCATGTATTTCGTGGATTGGAATGAACCATAATTGTAGGAAATTTTATCACAAATCTTGAACATTTGCGGAACCAAATCCATAACCTAGTCCAGCCTTGGTAACAAATTATGCAAATGTGATGAGATGTGATGACACTGTTGTGTTTCCGAATGTTTTGTATGTAGTGAGGTTTAGATGCGTTGTTTGACCTAGCTACATGTGTACATCAAAGTAAAAACTGTGTACACATTTTTTTTTAATACCTGAATTGGCATTAGTCACAGCCACCTCTAATACAAGGCCGCGGCGAGTGAAAAGCGGCAACGTCGCATCGGTGTCTTGGCGTTCGGTCGTTTTACCATTACAGTGAATGGAGGAGTCGCGTACTCTACGTACATAATCGCGTTTCTACTACCTTTAATCATTAGTAATGACATTAAACTTCTTACTACAGCATGCCAGATAGATGTGACGTGCCTGGATGCAAGAATAATTACGATAGCTCAATTAAAAATGAATAATACATACAGTGTT